CGTTGAAAGGCGGGACTCATAGATCCACACACACATGGCAAGATGAATTCATAAGTCAACTACCTTTCTTTCATAAAGAACATAGGCAAGTTGGCACATGGAATAAATTATGGATCTTGTTAAAATTTGGAGATTTGGTTTGATGTAATTTTCTCTGTCATTAATATTCAGTTAGGAACTAAATAGATGTAAACATATGTAAGGTAATTACTTCTGCAACGTCAGGTTTTCTAGCTGCATAAATATTGAGGAAAATGATGCGGGAAACATCGTTTAAGATCTCGCCTCTAAAGTATGGAACATGCCCCACAATTTCTCTCTTGCTTTGAATAAACTGATTATAGTATAAGATATGGGAGGAGGATGGAGTAGGTCTTCTTTTTTATTGCTAATGGTGTGGGACTAAGTCCCTTGTACTGCGGCCACTTCTGGCCTATTGTACCAGCCCCAGATGATAGGTGAGGGTGATTGTGGAGCAATTGGTGGAATGAAGATTGGCAGGGGAAACCGAAGTACTCGGAGAAAACCTGCCCCAGCGCCACTTTGTCTACCACAAATCACACTTGACCATACCTGGGATCGAACCCGGGCCGCCGCGGTGGGAAGCCAGCGACTAACGGCTTGAGCTATGGCGCGGCCCTATGGAGTAGGTCATAGTATCGGTCATTCCACCCAAAAATGTATATATATATACGTGTGTCCTATTATGAACGGTCTCCGAGATAGAGCTACTTCACTGTACACTGTACAGACGAGCAGCACGCCGTGTCCTCACACGAGTTGCGAAGTCCCTTGATGTGGACGGTGGAATATTCGAAAATGTATTATACTAGGTAAACTGTACTAACTTTGTCACTTGAACAGTAAATACCGGTATTAGAAACAGTACGTAATATCTCTTTCTTATGACCGCGCCATAACTCAAGCGGTTAGTCGGTGGCTTCCCAACGCGGTGGCCTGGGTTCTATATCGGGTCTGGTGAAATGGAATTTGTGGTGGACAAAGTTTCGCTGGGGCAGGTTTTCTCCGAGTACTTCAGTTTCACCTGCCAATTTTCATTCCACCAAATTCTCCATCATCATAATCACCCGGGTCAGGCTACAATAGGCGAATCAGTGGCCGCCGTGCCGAGTGGACCCACTTGGACTCCAGCCCCCACTAAGCGAATTAAAAAAAAACAAAAAAACTCTTTCTTATAACAGTTGTGGAACAATATAGTGAAATAGCTCTATTTCGGAAACAGTTCGGAATAGGAGACATGTAAGAGTACATATATTTTTTTGCTTAGAATAACCGATACAATGACCTCCGAGCATACTGACCTTTTCTTCTGGGACATACTGTATAAATTCCTTTTTACGCGTTAAATTATATAAGGGCCATAAAGTAGCTGAAACATCAGCAGGAAACAATCAATATGAAGTGACTGTCGTCATGGAGAATTTACATCCTGAGGACTGCAGTTCTTGGTCATTAAAGTCCTCAACCAGACGCTGAAAATTCCAGGACTCTGTCCCGCCGTAGCCTGATCTACTCTCTCTCGTCATAATGCACAAAGCGGAGAGATTCATTAGTTGGGCACTCGGGGCAATCCTCATATTGCTCTTAGTCACGTGGGAAACAGCTCACAGCTTACATGACGTGGGAAGTGGCATGCAAGGTCTCTTGAGGATATAAATTAAATTTATTCGTTTATTTATAGCTTACTTAACGACTCTGTAACTCGGACCATAAAATAAACCAGGAATGACTGGATAATGAATTGAATAATTAATCTGAAGGAATTTCGTGGGGCGTGAAGGGCGGCCGGCGCGTAAGGCTGACAAACTTACCGCCATCTGTGAGCCTATTGTCTAGAGAAAATGTGGGAGCCTCGACATCTCACAACCGTATCGACCTCCACGGCCTGTTACAGAGATAGTTTTATCTTTTTTAATTAAAAGGTACCTGGATGGAAGCGGCCGTGGCCCAATTTTAAAGCACTATACAGGAATTTTCATGGAGGGACTTAGGAAAATCGACGAAATCCGTGCCCCGAGCAAGTTTCGAACATGGACTCTCCACGAATGGAATTCAGAAGTGTTATCACTTGAGATAATTTGAAAAGTGTGTGCAAACAAGAGCTCGTGGTCTAATTTTAATATTGACATGCCTGGTGTAACTTAGGAAAACCACGAAAATTTTCAGTTAGGAGAGCCTGTATCCCGGGTGATACTCGAACCGGATACCTCCCAAATAAAATCGAACGCCGTTACCGCTTCAGTCAGTTTGGTGGCTAGAACATCTGGGAAGAATGGCACGAAAGTTTTCTGTCACCACACATCGAAGTCATACAGAAAAACAGACGTAGCAGTTCTGGTGTGTTATCAGACCCAGAGGTTATATTGGTGATAATGAATGATCATCCGGCTCGGATTAATATTGTGTTAATCTGGGATATGAACCGCGTTGTTTCGTAGGGGGCTACCAACCTTTCCTCAAGATGGAGTCAGAAAGCTGCACAATAAAGACGATTGTTACAGGTTTCTTCGAAACGGTTTTAACTTAAATATGAAATTATGCGGTATCATAACCCATAATATCACAATCTAAAATGTCATTGCCTTGTAAATATAGTTAGATAGTTAGTTATTTAGAGAGGGTGGGTTTTCCCATGCACCGCGCCCAGTTTGATCTATTGTGCTTCCCTCTATGATATTCTACCAGTCTCTATACCCTACCGATAAATGGTGCGTACCATCAGTCCCGCCGAGCAAGCGAGTTCGTCNTACGACACGGGACCCACGGCTTAAAGTCCCTCCCGGAGGACTTGTTCCCTGAATTTTTCCGCCCTTAAAAATTCGACGACCTCCGCCGGGTATTTGAACCCGCGTACTACGAGTCATGAGGTGGGAACGTTACCTCTAGACTACGGAGGCCGCTCCTTGTGAATATGTCTGATACTCTGATACTCGTATTTTCACGTATCACAACTGCAACCAGAAACGTTAACATGCTCATGTAATCATTTTGATTTCCACTTTATAAGCGTAGCTGCCTGAGGCACTATTCTAGAAGCCGGAAGGTCGCGGGTTCGATTCCCGTTGAGGTCATTGTATTTTTCAATTAACCTAATTCTTCCAGGTGCACTATGTCCCTGGGGTTGACTCAGCCTCTAACAGAAATGAGTACCAGGAATCTTCATCGCCATCTCTGAGTCGATTGTCTAGAAAATGTGTGAGCCTCGACATCTCAACCCCTATGGGCCTCCACGGCCTGGTACAGGGATAGTTCTCATCCTACATGAAGAACCAATGTTTGGGGACTGAGTGTTGGGGAGTATATGTTGACTGTCATATTGATATTTTTCGTTGTATCATCTTAGAAAGTAAAGGGGGAAGTAGCCTCAAATGATACTACTCAACGTACTAAGTCTCATGAAAATCCGTGTTTAAAAGTTATAGGAGAGGGACAGACAGACAGACGGTTGTTCTGGAAATAAGGAACCACAAATCCATCTTTCCTTTTAAACGACGAAGGCGGGAAATAGAACAAGAATTAACGAAGGAGTGGGCCGTTTCTTTCCTTGAACAAATTTCTTGGTCCTCTATTTTCACTGGTCCAGACAGAGCACCAGCTTCCTTGCTGTTCTGTCGAAACATGAGACATATATATACATAGAAAGACGTAAATTCTGATGATGGTGACATCACTTAAAAGTCCCCATCGTGTATTTTTCTCCTGTAACTTCCTCTCGAGAGTATTTGAAAGGTAATGTCCCTTCACGTAGGTAAACATCACGCCATGAGGACTTATGAGGGAGTGGAGCTACAGTTCGTCGCACACTTAATTTTGGCACAAGATCATAGTTTCAAGCCCCGCCTGCCTTGTACCCACTAGATTAGTCCTCAGAGCCGGTCTAGATGCTGTGAGGAAAGGAAAATTTTCTTGCCCGTGACGAGGAATTCAAATAAAATTTCCAGTTATCAATATTAATTTTACTGTGCAATAAGAAATGTATAGGCCTGTATCAAAACGAAACAATATCACGCTGCGCGTAAATATACGTAAGTTGGTTCTGGAGCAACTTATATTACGTAGCAAGTAAAGTATCTAGTACGGAAGCGTATGGTCGTATTTAACCCTTCAAAGGCTGTCTCTCTTCTAAATAATATTCAGTCCGTACCTCGCAGGAAACGCTTTACGTCTGCACTACAAAGCCCAACCGGTTAACGCTGTTTAAGGAAATAGTCGTTGTTTATTATGAGAACCATACGGAACACACAGATACATTCTGTAGGCCGATTACAGAGTTTTGGTGTGTTAAAGCAGGTGGTACGTATAGTAACCACTGGGCTTTAAAGATTTAAGGTGTCTACGCTTTGAAATCAGCATTAATTTAAAACATTACGCGTCAAGCTGTCGAACTAATAACGCCATTTACAATATTTCTCTGTCTAAGTATGTGATCAAGTCACGCCATATTGTTTGAGAGGACTGAATTACGTGATGGTAGCTCTTGAACAGGGCTGAACCCAAGATTATGATCTTCTGGCGTGTCAAGATGGCGCTAGCATATTTTTTTTCAAAATGTTGGTTCCTCTCTGCAGAAACGACACGGCGTCATATCCCAGAAGATCGAAATTTTGAACGGTGAGAATCTGAGATCACAGAGGACTCAATTCATCCGGGCGTCTTTGATTTATAATGCACCCTATGAAGTTCGAAGTCCGTCTAAGTTATATTAAAAGATTCATTTTCTACCTCCAAGAAAACATATTATCTCCATTACATAGATTAGCAGTGTTAGTGAAGGAGTTGTTTATTCTGAGAATGAAACCGATCACTTGGAACCTGAAAATTTATTTCAACGCCCCCTGTACGTCTGAGTGGAAAAATATGCAGACACATGGTGACTTACGTCCACCTGTTTTCTTGTTTGTATATTTGCTAATCTAGACGAATTGAAGACAAATATATGGACCTGTATTATTTGTTTATACAGGGTGTTTCATTTTTAGGGAGATGGCAGAGTCACGCGTGCCTGGAGGTGATGCCATTATAACCACGGAGGAGGAGTCTGTGAAGACGGCTGGACGTTTCCGAACTGCGCTGCCCCAGGTAGGAGTTGAATATACGTATGTGTAACTGAACTTGCATCAATTACAGATTTATAATTAGGAACATTAAAAATATTTCTGTAACTGGATCTCTGTCCTATGTTTTGATATACAAAGGTTGGATAAAAAGTAGTGACAACACCTCTATAGTTCTGAAATGACTTTATTACCTGAGGTAAACACACTTACATTCCTTCAATATAATCGCCCCCCATGTGTACCACCTCCCAAATTTGTGGAAGGCGTCGTACACCATCAGCGCCTCCACTTCTGTTGATGTCCAGCAGTGACCGCCCTACAGCACGAATAATCTCCTCCTTTGTGTTGTAACGTGTCCCTCGCAGTTGTTCTTTCATTTTGGCAAAGAGATCATAACTGCACGGACTCATATCGGGTGAGTATGGCGGATGTTGCAGTATCTCCCATTGCTAGCGGCGAAGGAGATCCTTGATAGCGTCAACAGCATGAGCCCTTGCATTGTCATGAAGGATGATGGGGTTCGTTGCCAACAAGTGTCGTCGCTTTCTCCTGAGTGTTGGACGAAGATGAGTACGCAGGAAATTGGAGTAGTAGGCAGCGTTTACTGTCTGTCGTTGAGGTACAGTGTGGTGCAATATCACTCCATCAGTGCCATATGCCACAATGAACATCGCCTTCACATTACTCTGTGTAGGGCGCACTTTCTTTGGACAAGGAGAGTCAGGATGCTTCCATTCCTTTGATTGCCGCTTCAGGTGCGGGTCGTATTAGCGAGCCCAAGTTTCGTCCAGAGTGACGATCCTTCCAAGGAAGTCGTCACCTTCCCTCTGGTACCGGTCCAACAAGTCTTGTGCAATTCATAACGTGGCCATTGTTGCACTTCGGACATTGTATGGGGTACCCAACGCGCTGCAATTTTGCGGTATCCAAGAATATCGTGCAGAATGTGGAGCACGGTTTTGTGACATACGCCTACCTCAGCAGCTAACTCCTGCGCAGCCCATCGACGATCGACATCCAGCAAAGAAGCAAGAAGCTGAATTGTGTGGTTGTCCACATGGGATCGTCCTGAATGGCATCCCTCCCTTCAAGGAACAATTTCACCCATCGTGCCACTGTGCGATATGGCAAAGCAGCATCACCACATGCTTCTCGCAGTCCCTGATAACAGTTTTGTGCACTACGACCTCGTGCAACTTCAATTTTTATCTAGGAGCGTTGTTCTTGTTTCATAAACATGTTGTTAGGGGGCATGAACTGGGCTCCTGCACTTCAAGACGATGCACAATGCAGCTCAATGAAACACAACCAAAGCCACTGACTACACTACTTCAACTGAACTTCTGCTATCAGCTACAGACGGCGCTAGTGCCACCTGACGTACATCATTCATGTTACAGCAGTGTTGCCACTACTGCTTATCCAACCCTTGTAGATTTTATGTTAAAGACTTTTCGAACCTATTAAAAACGTCAACTTTAAACCTATTATTTTTAAATAATAAGGGGCTTGGTAAAGGTAAGTTAAAGCTATCCCTGTAACAGGCCATGGAGGCATATACGGTTGTGAGACGTCGAGGCTCCTACATTTTCTAGACAATCTGCTCACAGATGGCAGTGAGGTTGTCAGCCTTACGCGCCGGCCGCCCTTTACCCCCAGGAAGATTCCTAATACTCATTTCTGTTAAAGGCTGAGTCGACACCAGGGCCATAGTGCGGCTGGAAGGATTAGGTAAATTGAAGAATGCAATGACCTCATCGGGACTCGAAACCGCGACCTTGCGGGTTGTAGCATAGTGCCTCAACCAACTAGGCTACTGAGTGCTTCTAAAGAGTAACTCATATAGGTATACGTATGGATGGGATGAATGGGTTCTTGTGAATACGGTAATGAAGTGTACAGATACATATGGATCATTTCTGCATAGCACAATCTCCCGAGCAGTCCGGGAACTCTTCCTCAGAGACATAAGAATCTCTTCATTTGGTCACATCGCGAGGGTCAGTCCTCTCAAACACAACTTTGTTCTGAAGGTTACAGTCTTCTGCCTTACCGATACTTCGGAGGCCCGGACAAAGCAATAGAGTTACGGGAACAGCGAGCGACTCTTTGGTTCGCTCGCGGCTCCGGTACTTGCTCTTCCCATACCTGTAGCACTATTTTCACACAAGGCTTACTCTTTACCTTGAAGATGGAAGCAGCACATTCTTCTGAATCGACGATAAAGACCAAATCCCAGACGAGAATAATTATCATAGTTCAACCGTGTGGGAGATTACTATTGAGATAAGACAGCAGTGTCTTCGGCAAATATGTACCAGATTACATCGCGTCACGTCTCAGAAGATAATAATCATTTTTCATATAGCAGTACAATACCCCGCCGATCTGTCTTCGCTCGTTCGAAAACCGGGATCGTGGGTTCGAATCCCACTAGAGGCATGGATGTCTGTGTGCGTTTATTTTGTGTTTATATTGTCCTGTGTGTAGGTAGAGGCCTTGCGATGTGCTCATCCCTGATTCAAGGAGTCCTACCGAATGTGTATAGATTAAGAAACTGAAGAAAAAGCGGCCAAGGTTCAACAAAGGGCTGTAGAGCCACAGATAGACAGACAGACAGATAGATAATATATTGTCCATATGCTTAATTAATCATCACCGCTGTGAAGACGTATTGGCAGCCCAAAAGCACCACTTATTTCCCTGTTTTGGGTCTCTTCCGTCAACATCGCGTCTTCATGTTGCTAACGGTCTCTTCATATATGGGAGAGCCTGGGTTCGATAGGCAGGAGACCTGTTATCCTGTCAGATATTCGTAGATTTACTGAGTTTCTTCATGCAAGTGCCGCGACCGCTTCTTTCCACAAATTCTTTTCAGTTCGTCCTGAAATGTATCGCTTTTTAACTTCATTCATCTGTAATCTGTCAAGACGACAGGTCCACAGTCTCTTCCAAAACAGTTCCTCCACTTGATGCGATCTAGAGCTTTCTCCTTCAAATGAACTGAAAATACTAAATTAAAGGACGAGTGAATGTACCAATCAGTCCAATCAAAACATAAACCTGACGTCCATTTCACGCTGGTGCGAAATTTGGTCTCGTTCTGAATAAGGAAGTGAGGCTATTTCAGATCAAAGCGCCGAGGAGAATACCTGATCTCAAGACAGAGAAAGCAACAGGAGGCAGGAGAAAACGGGTTGATGAGACGCCTCATAATTTGTAATGAATGGAATTTAGTTAGTCAGCCAAGATACATTTTAATATCACAATTCCACGCCACATACAGGAAACGCAAGGAATTCGCCCACATGTCTCTGATGGACCATCCGATCAGTCAACCCAGCTTGGACATCTTCTCCATCTGGACGCCTGTTATCACAGCAGAAGTAAATATTAGTGTTTTTCTTTGTGTTGGTACCATGCGAAGAATTTGTCTCTCCAGCGGCAACTTCTATTATGATAATTCTCTGGTGCAAGGCCTCATACGTGTGGAGTTTTTATTATTTTAAGGTTTTGTCTTAGCTCTCGTAGATGGTTTTTCTGTGCTTGGCTTGTATACCATATCTGATGTTGCTGCAGGTGTTCGGAGTTAGGGACTGACTATCGATTGGCCCAAAATGAGTAGTTTCCACCTGAAGACGGAGACAGAAACCAGTCTCCGAAACGTTGTGTTCTTTTTAAAGACGATGTATAATATCCAGAAACATATTTGTATTCCATCTATTGCCTGGCTTTCCAAGTTGTCTCTTCATATGAAGTTAACTGAACCCATTTTACTTTACCCTGTACCGACTTACGAAACATGACCCCACTTTACCTTAGCCTGTACCGACTTACGAAACATGACCCCACTTTACCTTAGCCTGTACCGACTTACGAAACATGACCCCATTTTACCTTAGCCTGTACCGATTTACGAAACATGACCCCACTTTACCTTAGCCTGTACCGACTTACGAAACATGACCCCACTTTACCTTACCCTGTACCGACTTACGAAACATGACCCCGCTTTACCTTAGCCTGTACCGACTTACGAAGCAAACGACTGTGTACTTGTGGACAGGTGCTGGCGAGTACAGCCAAGAACATGATACTTCTGGATCTCGGCATGACGGTAGCGTTTCCAACCATCGCCATTCCGAAGCTACAGAACACCACGGACCCTTTGGCGTTAAACAACGAGCAGACTTCGTGGTTCGGTAAGTACACTAGTAAACTAAAGGTCATGGAGGCCCATAGGGTTGTGAGACGTCGAGGCTCCCACATTTTCTAGACAATGGCTCACATATGGCAGTGAGGTAGGCAGGCTTACGCGCCGGCCACTCTTTACTCCCAGGGAGATTCCTGGTACTCATTTCTGTAAGAGGCTGAGTCGGCCGCAGTGCCATAGTGCGGCTGGAAGGATTAGGTAAATCGGGATTCGAAACCGCGACCTTCCGGCTTGTAGCACAGTGCCTCAACCAACTACGCTACCGCGTGCTCCCGCTAAATACATGGGCGCATGAGAAATCCGTAAGAGGTGTTGTGGTCACTTTAAGAGAATGACACAGGAAGTGCAAGGAGAGAGGATCGTCTCTGAATCCTTATGGCACAAGAAGAAAATGGCGGAGGAGGGAAAGAACAGTAAGAAACACTGAGATAATGATCGGGGAGGAACAGCAAGAGTGAAAGGATGGTTCGCTTCTGGGATATAACGTCGTGTAGCCCGTTGAAATTCAACCGATGTTTCGGCTCGCCTGCTTCCACGCAGGTTTCTTGCTTGGTTTATTCTTAGACCCTGAAAATTGAGGCGACATGCTCCTCCGAAACGTCAGTTGACTTTCAACGGAATACATGGCGTTACAGCCCAGAAAACAGAGCTCTTCATAACAACCGCTGTGAGAACTGCAAATCCTACAAGACAGAAATGGGCTGGAAGAGAAGATGAAAGAATAAAGCGTAGACGAGAAGATAAAAAGGAACATGAAATTCTCTAATGAAATCGAGTTCTGTTTGAAAATTTCTGTCTTCTTGGATGCGATGCTACGTTGTCTGCCAGTAAGGCACAGACATTTTGGGGGATGTCTCCCGAACCTTTCGTTCCTTTGTACCAAAACTGCCGTCAGAACCTGAAATGTCGCGAAATACTATTTTTCCCTATGTTCTCCTGTATGAGAGGATCAACCAATCTTCCCAGGTTATGTTTTCTTATTATTCTTAGTGGGGTGAGTCCACTTGGTGTTGCGGCCACTACAGGCCTATTGTACCAGCCCCAGATGATAGATGATAGTGACTGTGGATCAATTGGTGGAATGAAGATTGGCAGGGGAATCCGAAGTACTCGGAGAAAACCTGCCCCAGCGCCACTTTGTCCACCACAATTCCCACATAGTCTGAGCTGGGCTCGAACCAGGGTCACCGCGGTGGGCTCAGCTGTAGCGGGGCCCATCTTCCCAGGTTCCTGCTCTGATATAATCCTATCCCGAGTTATATATCCTGTATTCTTTTCGTATTTTTTCGTGGGAATCGTTCCTGCTGTTAACCTCGTCTCATGAAGTTCTGATTGTCAACATCAGATAACGCCACTATCTTCGAGTTACCTCGGCGAACATGAGATTTACATTTTAGGTCATAGATGTCGCCTCCGTCTGCAACGCCGCGTGAGAGCAGCGGTGTGATATGCCACCTACTTGACTTCATGATCTCCGGGTGGAGCATTCTCGAAAGAGCAACTATGATCCACACAATATTCAGCTGGGCCTGCCACACAGAAACTTGACACGGAGTTTTGTTACGAGCTTTTCAACCTTCTAATTTAATGGATCTTTTAATATAGCCGATTCGTTTACAGATTATCAATATTTAGAAACTGCGACAGGCAAAATTCCTGCATAAAAACAAAGATTTAAGTCTCTTGTCTACTTGCGTGTGACGCTGCATAGTCTGGACCAGAATGTAAGGCGTCACATGCCAGGAGACAGAAGAACCTCAAGTCTGAGTACGTAAAAAAAATTTAAATTTGAAAATAAGAATAACTAAAATCACAGAATTCAACAAATGCAAAATATGAAACCAGCGGTAATTTAACAAAGAAATGTAAGTTATTACCGGTCGATACGGTGTCAAGGCAGAGATGAATAATATCGCATTGTCATTGCCACATTTGTGTGTACAATTATTTATTGCTAAATGTACAGAAACGCATCTGAATTCAAAATGTCGCAACGCACCGACTTAAAACTTCTTTAAGTGATGAAGAAATTCTTATTTTTTGTGGGCTGTAGTGATTCGGTATCATTAACACAAAATCCCGTCATTGGAGTTATCTTGCGCCAACTAAATCCAGCCCGTCCTCTCACATCCTATTTCATTCCATCCTTCCACCTTCTAGCATTTAATACTTTCCTCCCATACACTTCTGGGATGCCCATGTTACCATTTTCCTTCAGGAGTCTTTATTAAATAACTAACTTCACGGAGCCGGGCCCTTATTGAGAAGCCACCAGTCACACACCTACTCAAGAACTTCCCAACTAACTTCACGGAGCCGGGCCCTTATTGAGAAGCCACCAGTCACACACCTACTCAAGAACTTTCCAACGTTTTATGGAACCCGAAAGTTCATCACCGTGTTCACAAGAGCCCTCCACTGGTCCCTATCCTGCGCCAGATCAATCCAGTCCATACCACCCAATTCTATAAGATCCACTTTAATATTAGCCACCCACGTACGTCTTGGTCTTTCTAGTGGTCTCTTTCATACTGATTTTGCCAGCAATATCCTATATGCATCTCGCGCCTCCCCATTTGTGCTACATTCCCTGCCCATCTCATCTTTCTTGACATGATCATTCTAATTATACTTGGAGAAGAGTAGAAGTTATGAAACTCCTCTTTATGATGTTTTCTGCAACCGCCTGTGATTTCATCTCTCTTCGGTCCAACTATTCTCCTCAACACCCTGTTCTCAAACTCCCTCAGTCTATGTTCCTCCCTTAATGTCAGAGACCAAGTTTCACACCCATACAGAACCACAGGCAAAATTATAGTTTTGTGTATTCTAATTTTTATGTTTTTGGACAGCAGACGAGAAGACAAAAGCTTCTGGACTGAATGGTAGCAAGCAGTGCCCGAGTTCAGTCTCCTCTTAATTTCAGCCTGAATCTAAATTTGATTTGTTACTGTCGTATTTGAACTGTGCCACATTTTCAATGGGTCTGTTACCTATCTGTATGTCTTGAATGTGCCCTGCATTCTGATGACGATACAGCAACATATGCTCATATTTTTCTCTGCGCTTACTTCTACGTAGACCAAACCTCCTTGCTAGCGTCAACTGAAGTTTATAAATATTTTGTATAAATTGCTCATGCTGCCGTGCATCTTCCCTGCCACTTCATACTCTTGTTTGTTCCCCTTCGCATCCTGCTCTGGAACACATTCAGTATATGTGGAGTACTTACTGCCATCCAGGTTGTAATGTCGTGTAAAAGACAAAGGTAAAATTGCCCCTGTACTTGGTCGATTAAGCAACACGCAATGAAGGCGAATGGAAGAGTGGAAGTATAGCTCTACTCGTACCATTCTTATCGTGGACACTTAATCGAGGTGAGTGGTCTGCTTCACGAGCCAGCCGCTTTAACCCCGGGAAAGAGCCCCCGATACCCATTGGATAGGAGGTTGGGTGGACCCCAGAGCCGGTCTGGACGCTTTGGATAAAGAAAAATCTCTTTCCCCTTGCCGGCAATTGAACCACGGTCGTCCAACCCGTAGCGCATCGCTCTACCGACTAAAGCATCGTAGTCGGGTATAACTTCACCGATGTTTCGGAGGAACTTACTGTCACCATTTCCATCTTCCGATCTGCTTGAATTTTGCCTCTTGTAAGTTTCTTGCTTGGCTTAATCTTCGTCTTTGAAGATAGAGGTGGGATTTTCCTTCGAAGTGTTAGTGGATGTCTACCGGACTACACGGCGTCACATCCTATATGGCAGTACCGTTCATGTTACCCACTGTGAGCGCCTCAGTGCGACCTACAATGTACGTTCTCGTATATCTAATGATAAGGTATACAGACCCATCCAAAACAATGAACAAAATTGCACTGGTATGTAAGTTATGTGGTTTCAAGGCACTTACTGGTAAGACTGTGACCTTCTGGATTGTGATTCCATGTAGCTCTATGGGCTGACGTTTCGGAGGTACACGCTGCTTCATACATGTAGGCCTATCCTACGTACGTTATTCTACATTCTACAAAATTGGCTTAAAAAGTGTTGTCTTATTGAGCACAACGCCATGTAGACCGACTTTCGGAGAAACATATCGCCTCCATCTTCACTGTAAAAGAGTAAGACGGAGTCAGAAAGCAGAGCCAAAAGCAACACAGATCAACAAAAGCTTCTTACTACACGCCAAGACCTACTTGGTGATTCTAAAGTATTGTCGGAAACCGCGACAGTAATGTAGAATCACTCTGTATTATCATGTATCGTACAGAGGAACCTGTATTAACAGGCGGTATTATCCTCCCACGTCAAATCTGCTCAGGTTTCAGCATTCAATCCTCATAATGGAAGGAGCATTTTCTTCTGAAACGTCAGTTTTGTGTAAGGTTCTTTTTTTTTTTTACAGACTATGGAGAGATATGATATTCTGAAGTGACTGATGCAAAGAAATTCTTCCAAATGAATCTGGTCTTAATTTCGCCAAGGACATTATTTTGCTTGCTTCAGACCGTCCGGCCGTGTTACAGGAAGCATCATGTACATCTGTCAACCGCTGGGAAGTGTTCTGTCCGGTATTGTACTTGAGCGCTTGGGCCGAAAGAAATCTTTGATCCTTGTCAACTTTCCTCACATCGTCGGCTGGTTCATCTTCTGCTTTGCCAGTTCGGTGCCAATGCTGTACCTCGCAGCCGTCATCATGGGACTCGGCGTCGGGTTTGTGGAGGCGCCCGTCATCACTTACGTCGGAGAGATCAGCCAACCAAAGCTGAGAGGCGTTCTGACTTCATATTCAGGCAAGCAGTAGGAAGGCAAAGTGTTAGCTTCATAGTAGCATAAGTACTTTCTGAATTATGCAAGTCAAACATTGTTTCCTTGACGCAGTACGCAGGTAATTACTACACTCTGCAGCCACGCAACACAAAAAAATGTCCAACTTTATTTTTATACATTTTTGGTTGTTTTTTTAAAGACGCTCTGAGTACTGAGACACAGTATCGGATAATTGGACGATTAATCACAGTGTGTAGCAGTTGGTGGAATAAGAATTGACAAGGGAAACAGATATTAGAAGAAAACCCATCCAGGACCTCTTTGTCCACCATAAATCCAACATGACCTGACCTGAGATCGAACCTAGGCCACCATGGTGGGAATTTTCATAAAAAACAAACTCCGTGGCCTGTAGTCCGCAAGCAAACTATAACGACCGAGCGACCGACGCTTGTCGGCGATGTTAGTGTCAACTTTTGCGGATAGAGAGTGTCGTGTGGTCAGCGCAACGGATCCCCACGGCCGTTAATCTTGGTTTTCTAGACCGGAGCCACTATGTCCTTGAAACAGTTCCTCAATTATTCTCACAAGGCTGAGTGGACCCCGTTCCAGACCCACAACTTCTCAGAAAATCTGGTAGCGCCGGGAATCGAACCCGGGAACTCTAGATCTGTAGCCAGGAACTCTGACCACTAGACTAGAGAGGGAATTTTCATATAAAATAAAAAGGAGAAGTTGTGCCTGTGCTTAATTAATTAGGCAATTTAACACAACATCATGAAGACGTATGCGGGAGTGCAGGTATAGCTCCACCGTTCTTGACTTCGGCACTAGATGGAGGCGAGTGGAGAACTTCAGGGACCGGCCGTTTTACTCCCTGGGTAAGAGCCTCCGGTACCCATTGGATAGGAGAGTGGGTGAACCTCAGAGCCGGTCTGGACGCTGTGGAGTAGAGTAAAAACTTGTCCCTTCTGGGAATCGAAACCCGTCCGTCCAGTTCGTACTCCATCAGTATACCGACTGAGTTATCACTGTTCCTCAAGTTAAATAATATGATTCATATTAAATAAGGATTAAATCGGGTTAATCTGACTAATGTGAACAGCTGATATATTAGAGACTGCTGCCTTGCGGGTTGTTACGCCAACGTTTCTAAGAAACATGTCACCTCCATCTTCAGTAACGAAGAGTAATTTTTTATTTTTTTTTTAATTCGCTTAGTGGGGGGTGGAGTCCAACTGGGTCCACCCGGCACGGCGGCCACTGATTGGCCTATTGTAGCCTGCCGGGTGATTATGATGATGGAGAATATATTGGAATGAAGATTGGCAGGGGAAACCGAAGTACTCGGAGAAAACCCGCGCCAGCACCACTTTGTCCACCACAAATCCCACTTGACCAGACCCGGGATCGAACCCGGGCCGCCGCGGTGGGAAGCCAGCGACTAACAGCTTGAGCTATGGCGCGGCCCTAACGAAGAGCAAGTCAATAACGAGCAAGAAGCAAGCCGCAAGTGCCTTTCTCGTTGCTTGCTGAGCATATCTTCTAACCTGAAGATGGATGCTGTATGGTCTTTCGAGACGTGAAATTTATACTCAGCCACACGGCTTCGTATCCTCATTATAGCCGCTGCTGGAACTATATTCAAGAGCTGAAGTGTTGTGTTGTGATGGTAAAGCATATATGATGCTAAAGAGTCCTGTTTTCTGTGATATAACAACGTGTAGTCTTCTGAAAGTCAGCGGACGTTTCGGGGTAATATCTCGCCTCCATCTTCAAGGTCTAAGAATAACTAAGATAGGAACCAGCATGAAGTAGGTAGATAACGGACTACATGGCCTTCATGACCACCACTGTGAGAACTTCAAATCTTGTATACCCATATGATATTGTTGTTTACTTTCCTTACTACACCGATAATACAGTTTCTTACGCTGCTGTACAAGTTGTCACCTTCAGTTAATGAGGGCGACATAGGATTTCATTCTGTGNTTCAAGAGCCGAAGGGTTGTGTTGTGATGGCAAAGCATATATGATGCTAAAGAGTCCTGTTTTCTGTGATATAACAACGTGTAGTCTTCTGAAAGTCAGCGGACGTTTCGGGGTAATATCTCGCCTCCATCTTCAAGGTCTAAGAATAACTAAGATAGGAACCAGCATGAAGTAGGTAGATAACGGACTACATGGCCTTCATGACCACCACTGTGAGAACTTCAAATCTTGTATACCCATATGATATTGATATGATATTGCGCGTAAGGCTGACAACCTCACCGCCATCTTTGAGAAAATGTGGGAACCTCAACATCTCAGAGCCCTACGGACTTCCACGGCTTGTTACAGGGGTAGCTTTACTTTTATCTTTTTATATCGAGATTCTGTGGGGCGTTACTTAACAGTGCACCCAGTATGTGGACTGCATAGCAGGGTATGTTGGGGCAATTGATGGATTGGAATCGACGTGCTTTCCCGCAATGCTCCCTCTAAGCTGCCCGCTCGTATTGCCCCGCAGCTGCTGTCGCAGTCCCACGCACATTTATTGGTTTAGTATACAACCATTTTAAATTAATAAAATAAAATTGGAAAAAAGTAAACTACAATTCTTTTGGAAGCTTTTAAATCTAGTGTTACGAATTTTTTTTTGGAAAATCCCCCCGCCCCCCAGATTGCCCAAGCCAATCCTATTGCCGCTCAGTGATTTGAGGCACTAAGATGAATTTTCGAATCGAGCATTACCTCTAGATGCTGTAGATCAACTGGATATGTAGTTGGCCTAACTTGTTCAGAGATGGCGGGGCAGGATTATTTCACTGATACTGTAATGCTGCTACACGTACTTGCATGTCTGTCTTACATCAGAAGAGGACTAATATTGTATGACGTAGGCTTCTATGGAAATGTTCTACATGAAGATGCTTTGTTTTGCAGGCATATTCGTACAGCTGGGCTTTAGCTTTGTGTACCTGCTGGGTTCTCTGACGCACTGGACGACGGCGGCCGGAGTCAGCGCTGCTGTACCCATCGCCGCAGTGATCGCAATAAGCCAGGTAAACAGGCCAATGACTGATTACAGAACTGACTGCCTTGACGTCTGCCTGAGTGACTGAAAGAGTGAAGGACAGGCTAAGTGAGTGACTGGATGCATAGCTGAAAGAGTCAAAGCCTAGCTGCCGGAGAGTCAGACTGAATGCCTGGTTGAATGAACGAAAGAGTGACAAACAGGCTGAGTGACTAGTTGCCTGGCTGGTAGACTGATGGACTGAATGCCTGGTTGAGTGAATGAGTGAGAGACAGGCTAAGTGAATGACTGTTTGCCTGACTGAAAGAGCGAAAGGCTTGTTGGCAGAGTGACTGAATGACTGGCTGAGTGAATGATAGAGTGAGAGACAGGCTAAGTGAATGGCTGGATGGCTTGATGAAAGAGTGAAAAGTTGGCTGAAGAGAAACTGGATGTATGGCTGTATGACAGAAAGAGTGAAGGACTGGCCAGCTGCGTAAAACAGTGAAGAACTGGCTGATGGAGTGGTTGAGTGACGGTGTGTTAGGCTGGAATGCTGGCAGGCTTTGGACTGGCTGAATATTAGTGTGTCTGCAGAATCTCATGCGAGGAGGATTACAACGTTCATAACCATAAGCAAAGAAGCCCCTAATTTAACCATATTGTGAGCTACTTCAACCCAGCGCCATAGCTCAAACGGTTAGTCGCTGGCTTCCCACCGCGGCGACCCGGGTTCGAACCCGAGTCTGTTCAAGTGGGACTTGTGGTGGACAAAGTGGCGCTGGGGCAGGTTTTTGTCCGACTACTTCGGTTTCCCCTGCCAATCTTCATTCCACCAACTGCTCCACAATCACCCTCACCTATCATCTGGGGCTGGTACAATAGGCCAGAAGTGGCCGCAGTACAAAGAACTTAGTCCCACCCCACTAGCAATAAAAAAATATTTCAATCCAGATTATATCTAACAGTTTAATTAGATAAGCTGAAAAAACAGCATCAGTGGTGCACACGGTAGCGTAGTTAGTTGAGGCACTATGCTACAAACTCGCGGGTTCGATTCCCGATTAAGTTGATTTTTTCAATTGACCTAATCCTTCAAGCCGCACTAAGGCCCTGGAATCGACTCAGCCTGTAACAGAAATGAGTACCAGGAATATTCTTGGGGAGTAAAGGGCGTCCGGCGCGTAAGGCTGACAACCTTACCGCCATCTGTGTGCCGACTGTCGAGAAGATGTGGGAGCCTTGACGCCTCACAAACCTATGAGCCTCCACGGTCTGTTACAGGAATAACTTTACCTTTCCTTTTACTTCTACTTGTACTCAATAAAGGTTAATTTTCAGGTGCCGGAAACACCAATATGGTTACTCTCTAGGGGCCGTTTCGAAGAGGCCGAAAGGTCGCTGTGCTGGCTCCGGGGATGGGTCCCTCCAAGCGCCGTCAAGAAAGAATTCAACGATCTGGTGCTTTACTCCGAGAACATTAAGAAGCTGAAAGACGAGCCGTACAAGACAGCGGAGAACGAAGGCGTCGCGACGGCGACGGACGTATCCTCCAGAGATAGCGCCTTCAAGAGGAAATTACGGGAGCTGTTGAAGCCACAGACATTGAGACCTCTCTCATTGGTTCTCATGTTCTTCTTCTTCCAGCACTCTTCAGGTTTCACTGCAATGCGACCCTACATGGTTCAGGTGTTCGAGGAATTTGGACTGCCCATAAACGCTTACTGGGTCACTGTAAGTGTAGCGAACAGCTTGACTAACTAACTCGCTTTTAGCACAACAACATTGGTCGTGGTCAGTGTTCGGCTGGGTGACCAGCTGAGAAAACTGCACGCCAACAGCGGGACGGTTATTAGTGGAAAAGCTAGTTTAAATTCAACGGAGAATGTTTCTTTCGTTTACTTCATTATTCGCCCCCTTCCTTCATCACGTTTATCACTTTCGTATATCCCATTCTTTAGTTTATCAGTTAAAGCAATGGATTAAGTTACGTCGTTACCCTTGGTATGGCTCCGTTTCAATCCTGCAGCTGTCACCTAAGTAAATCCAGCCTGACAAGGACATAACATGCATACACAGTAAGATAATACGCATAGCTCAAGCGGTTAGTTAGTTAGTTAGTTAGTTAGTTAGAGAGGGTGGGTTTCCCCATGCACCGCGACCAGTTTGATCTATTGTGCTTCCCTCTATGATATTCTACCAGTCTCTATACCCTACCGATAAATGGTGCGTACCATCAGTCCCGCCGAGCAAGCGAGTNATTTGTGGTGGACAAAGTGGCGCTGGGGCAAGTTTTCTCCGAGTACTTCGGTTTCCCCTGCCAATCTTCATTCCACCAATTGCTCCACAATCACCCTCACCTATCATCTGGGGCTGGTACAATAGGCCAGAAGTGGCCGCAGTACAAGGGACTTAGTCCCACCCCACTAGCAATAAAAAGAATAAGATAATACGCACAAGCCTACAAGATCAGAAATCATCTCCTAGTAGGATAATTCAATATTCTGAGAGGTCATAGTATCGGTCATTCTAAGCAAAGAGTATACTCGTATATGTACATGTGTCCTATTCTGAACGGTTTCCGGGATAGAGCTATTTCAATATACAGTTTCCAGAACTGTTGATAAGATTGGATCGATCTGGCTCAGAATAGGGATCAATGGAGGGCCCTTGTGAACACAGTAATGAACCTTCGGGTTCCATAAAATGCTGAGAAGTTAGTGTGTAGCTGCACAATTGGCTGCTTCTCAAGAAGGGCTCAGCTCCATGAAGTTAGCTGGGAAGCAATATTGGCAAGAGCAGACAACCGTACCCAAACTTTCTGTGGCTTACTTACAGCTCTTCCAGTATCTGGACTATGTGATATCGAATGGTAAAATGGCTGACTAATTTTAAAAGATCTGGAAGAAAATTGTCTTCGTATATTAATGTACTATCCTGGTATTTCTATGGATGGACTGAAGGAAACCACGAAAAAACTTCAGTCACGATAGCTGGTCTGCCGACCGAGATTTCAACCGAGCACCTCCCAAGTACAAATCCCGAGCCACTTGCTCGGTGGAACATAACCTGCCCAGATGAATCCGGTTCGTATCTCCCGTCCTGTTGGTCCTATATCAGTTTAAATCCTTAGAAAGTGACTATTGCAGTCTAACTCTTCAGTTTAATGTCCGATTGCAGGTATTAATTGGCGTGGTTGGTCTAATAGGCAACGTGGTATGTATGGTAGGAGTGGCTTGGTGGGGTAAGCGCCCATTGTCGCTCGTCTCAATGGCTGTAGCGTCCATGGCGGCCCTCCTTCTGGGATCTTACGCCTTTGCTGTTATCTCGCCAGGAGAAGTGGCTACAGCCGGCACGCGCCACGTTGCTTCCTGGGCACCCCTGACCTTATTCGTGGTCTATGCGTTAATGCAAAGCATCGGAGTGCTCCCTGTTCCCTGGATGATCCTCAGCGAGGTGTTCCCCTTCAGGTAAATATTCCAGCGTCGAATATTAAAAATGAAATTAGTAAAGAAAGGTTATATCGTCTGGGATTATAGTCCGTTGAAAGTCAACGGATGTTTCGAAGGATTATGACTCTGATTGCCACATATTTTCACTCTGTTTTCTTTTATTGCTAGTGGGACTAAGTCCCTTGTACTGCGGCCACTTCTGGCCTATTGTACCAGCCCCAGATGATAGGTGAGGGTGATTGTGGAGCAATTGGTGGAATGAAGATTGGCAGGGGAAACCGAAGTACTCGGAGAAAACTTGCCCCAGCGCCACTTTGTCCACCACAAATCCCACTTGACCAGACCCGGGATCGAACCCGGGCCGCCGCGGTGGGAAGCCAGCGACTAACCGCTTGAGCTATGACGCGGCCTTCACGCTGGTTACTTAATTGGCTTATTTTTATACCCTGAAGAAGGAGGCGACATGTTCCTCCGAAACGTCGAACTTTAACGGAGTACACGGCGTCATATCCTCTGTGTGAGAACCTAAAACCCTACGAAATTACGAGTAATGTTTCATCTCTATAACAGGAGTGGGACAGTTCCGTGATTTAGGCGAGTTTGATGAGCGTGGTTTAGGTTTAACGCGTTTCAATATATATCACTTCTTCGATTACGTCTTTTGTCCTCACGTTAAAGCCATTAAGCGACCCCTAAGAGGCAACATAGCTGACGGTTATGTAGCGTTGAAGACAGCAGAAGCTGACAAGTGACTCACCCCTCATCTTCATGAGATGAGCATGAACCGGATCACACAAAAGAATATAAGTTTGGCTAAATAAATGTGTAAAACCTCTATGTTGTCTTAGTTTTCACTTTTCGCTCAATAAAATTGTAAAATATATAATGAAATAATTCATAAAACAGAATAAATTAAGCTATAAAAGTAAAGCTATCCCTGTAACAGGCCGTGGAGGTCCATAGGGTTGTGAGACGTCGAGGCTCCCACATTTTCTCTATACAGTCGGCTCACAGATGACGGTGAGGTTGTCAGCCTTACGCGCCGGCCCCCCCCTCAGGAAGATTCCTGGTACTCATTTCTGTTAGAAGCTTATGCGAGTACAAGACCATAGTGCGGCTGGAAGGATTAGGTAAATTGAAAAATCCAATGACCTCAACAGGAATCGAACAGAAGCAAAATATTTTAAACTCCGTGGATTTAGTATGCAGGCGAACTATACCGACCGAGGACCGCAGCTTGTCGGCGAAGTTTGTGCCAACTTTAGCGGATAGAGGGTGTCGCGTGGTCAGCACAACGAATCCCCACGGCCGCTAATTCCCGTTTTCTAGACCGGAGCCGCTATTTCCTTGAAATAGCTTCTCAATTATCCTTATGAGTCTGAGTGGAACCCGTTCCAGACACATTACTTCTCAGATAATTTGGTAGCGCCGGGAATCGAACCCCGGACCTCTGGATCTCTGACCAGTAGACGACAGAGGCGGTCAGAAAAATATTTTATGTGAATAAATATTTGTACCCCTCTGGGTTATAGCAACCAGCGCGGTGAAAGGCTCGCTCCTATGTACGTAGAGCAGGAACAAGTAGTTCAGTTCTCGTGTGGTACTTTCTAACCTTACTCATTCGTTTTATAAGCGGCACGCTTATAGTATCACAACGTACCACACAGTACCTCCAGATAAATGTTGAAGCGATTGATGTATTCTCATAAAACATGGTCTGAACAACGTCATAACGGAGGCCAGTTTATTTTCGTAATTGAAGAACGAAATAAATCATTTCGCAAGCGGCCTTTGCAGGTCACCTTGACGACCAATCAGGCAAGTCATTTTGACATGTGGTCTAAAGACAATAATACGCGGTATTCTGACGACGTCCTAACATTGAAGTACACTTGGTTACTTGCTGATTAGATTAATAACCACTCAAATAATAAACTTTGAAGATTATCTTGACCTTTAAAACCAAGCTGTTACTATATGCACCAGGGACATGTGGTAGCGTAGTTGCTTGAGGCATTATGCTACAAGCTGGAAGGTCGCGTGTTCAAGTCCCGATGGGTGGATATTTTTTTCAATTGACCTAATCCTTCCAGCAGCACTATGGCCCTGGAGTCGACTCAGCCCCTAACAGAAATGAGTACCAGGAATCTTCCTGGGGGGTAGAGGACGGCCGGCGCATTAGGCTGACAACCTCACCGCCATTTGTGAGCTTATTGTCTAGAAAATGTGGGAACCTTAACGTCTCACAACCCTATGGGTTTTCACGGCCTGTTACAGGGATAGTTTTACCTTTCCTTTTTACTATGTGTACCACGTGCTTTAACATATAGAAACTCTGAATTCTGCCCGCAGTGTATCTGTGTGTTTCATATGTTTCTCACAGTAAACAGCAACTGTTTCCCTAAACAGCATTAACCGGTTGGGCTTTGTAGCGGAGACGTAATGTGTTTCCTGTGAGGTACGGATTGAATTCTTGTATATTTGAAATATTTATATATTTTTAAGAAATTGAGTCTTTATAGAGTTAAACAGACGATTGAAAATACAGCATTTACAGATCTACTCGATCTGTGCAGCGGAGGCGAACTGAATTTAGAAGGAATAGACCATAAAATATACGGTACTTTATTGATGACCTGAAGCAAATGACTGAGATGCTTTTCGCAAGACCCAAATAAAATAAGATGCTATTTATAAAAACTTACGGAATAAGAGATGATTTTCAGGTGACCTTAAACAACAAACTGATACATTTTGCTGGTGACCGTAAGCAATAATATTAGATTCTTTAGAGATGATGTTAAGTAACAAAATGTGATGCTTTGCAGGTGATTGTAAACAATTAATTAAAAGCGGCGGTTTCTGGATGGGCAATCAGAAGGGTCGCCTGTGGTTCTGTATGGGTGTGAAACTTGGTCTCTGACATTAAGGGAGGAACATAGACTGAGGGAGTTTCAGAACAGGGCGTTGAGGAGAATATTTGGACCGAAGAGAGATGAAGTGACAGGAGGTTGGAGAAAACTGCATAATGAGGAGCTTCATAACTTGTACTCTTCTCCAAGTATATATAGAATGATCAAGTCAAGGAGCATGAGGTGGGCAGGGCATGTAGCACGAATGGAGGAGAAGAGGAATGCATATAGGATATTGGTGGGGAAGCCAGAAGGAAAGAGGCCACTGGGAAGACCAAGGCGTAGGTGGGCGGACAATATTAAAATGGATCTTAGAGAGATAGGATGGGATGGTATGGACTATATCAGTCTGGCTCAGGATAGGAACCAGTGGAGGGCTCTTGCGAACACGGTAATGAACTTTCGGGTTTCATAAAGTGTTGGGAAATTCTTGAGTAGTTGCAGAATTGGCAGCTCCTCAATAAGGGCTCAGTTCCTTAAGTAAGTAATGAGAAGGGTCCTTAAGCAGCCGAAACGTCTGTTTCAGGAGCCGCGGGCTGGCAAGTGGAATAGCAGCGGCTGGTTCCTACATGCTGGCATTTCTGGCCTCCAAAACCTTTCTGTCTGTGAATTCAGCACTTAGCCTGCACGGAGTTTTCTGGCTGTATGGTTGTCTTGGTTTCGTCGGATTCTTTGTCATCTACTGGACATTCTCGGAGACAGAAGGGCGGAGTCTGGAGGACATCGAGGAGTTTTACAAAAAAGGAATGAGAGGTAAAATCCCGAAGAAGAAACAGATCATAGGCGAAACATCAAAAGAACCATCCATAAACTTTAGTCCTTCTACAAGTTCCGTTGTAATAGAAAAGGGGAACGGGGTTGACAGTAATGATGAAGACAGGATGATAAATAACACACTATTCAAAACCCAGAGTTTAAGAAACAAGGCAAGCAAATCATTTTCTAGTAATGATGTAAGCAACGGAGCTGGAACAAGCACAGAAACTTTGGACACCGCGTTTACAGCCTCTACAGCTGATCTGCAAGACCGGATGCCCTCCACTGCAGATGTAAGCAAGAAGAGTGAAGAGGCAGAAGAGACGCGTGAAGAAACGAAAGTTAGGGAAGAGAAATGTAAGAAAGAGAAAGCGGCAGAAGAGGAAATATCCGATGAAATAAAAGAGCTAGAAAGAACCTCAAGTGAACCTACAACAGGGGAAGTCAGAAGTGGCAAAAACAAAGTAACAGACGAAAGTAACGCTAAAAATGTTGAAAACTACATTAAAGAAAAAGTGGATGTACACAATGAGGCAGAGGTGGAAGAGAGGACACAAATGTGATAAATTTAATAGGTAATTTAATTTTATGTTTGTTGATATTATTTTTGTTGGAAAGAAACGGAGATTTTTATTGAGCATTCTCATTAGTAGTTTTGTAACATCTCGACGCCAGGGTTTCACAGCAGTGGACTTCGCTCACATCGTAAGTAAGTTCACGTGCGTAACAGAATTCAGTTCTGGCTCTGGATTACGAATGTATTTATCATTAGACCTATGAGTCTCAAAGATTAAACCCTATGGCCTGAATTGTCCCGGTTTATCCGAATTTTAATTTCCGGTTATGCAATGTCGCCTTTTTAGTTTTCCATATTCTTTTTTAAAGGTTAAATAAGACACACAAAAATGTCTGTGAGTGCTTACAATATAAATGAAAATATCCATCCAAATATACACTGACTAGTTAATTAAGATAAATTTCCAACAGATGTCGCATGTTGTCAGAAATATTTATGAAGGTCGAAATTTTTGACATTTATAGGGTTAATTTTTTTAATTCGCTTAGTGGGGGGTGGAGTCCAACTGGGTCCACTCGGCACGGCGCCCACCGATTGGCCTATTGTAGCCTGCCCCGGGTGATTATGATGATGGAGAATTTGGTGGAACGAAGACTTGCAAGGGAAACCGAATTACTCGGAGAAAACCCGCCCCAGCACCACTTTGTCCACCACAAATCCCACTTGACCAGACCCGGGATCGAACCCGGGCCACCGCGGTGGGAAGCCGGCTACTAACCCATTTATAGGGTTAAAAATCATCTTTCTTTCAACGAACTATGTTTCTTTATCTTCCAAAATATTTTTTCTTTGTGATTTATTATACGTAGAACCATGGAAAAGCGTGAATTGAAACTTTCATTTCCTAATGCATGGAACACATCTTTGATTAGGATCTGTAATTCATTCTGACAGACTCTTCTTGATCTGCCAGTAACGTACCGGAGGTGAGGCAGCTTCATGCTTCTGTGGCCGTCACATAAGGCAGTGGGAACATAACAAACTAGTGCCCTCTCTGTGCTACGTCCGAAAGTTCGTGGTCCCCACGTGTTTACATAAGTAGCTGAGGGCTCCATACTTGTAGGCGGGCGGTACTGACAAAACCTAAGCACCCAAACTAGAACACAGGCCTCGGAATGGAAATTTATTAAAGACGACTGATATCAGCTGAGGTTACTGGCCCCCAGTAAAGGCTTATTTTCACTCTGTCCCCTATCCAACCGGCTACGGGCTAGACGGCTGCGATTCGATTCGCGGCTAGGGCAGAATTTTCTTTTCACTGTCATCCGAAGTGGCTTCGGGACCCACCCAACCTCCAGTCCAACGAGAAAAAAACTCCATGGCTTGAGTCCACAAGTGAACTATACCGACCGAGCAACCGCCGCTTGTCGGCGAACTTCTGTGGTCTAGTGATCGGAGCTCCTGGCTGAGATTTAGTATGTTAAAGCAGGTGGTATGTACAGTAACCACTGGACTTTAGAAATTTCATAGGGCCAGCCTGTACCTACTGGCTACTGCAGTTGCGCATGTGTGAGGTTTGCAGATTGCACTGAACTTGAATGAAACCGGAAGTCGATGTGGTATATCTAATTCCTATGTATAGTGAACTCATCAGTATTACAATTTTTATAGCAGAATTTCTTATAACAAAATTTATATTTTGAATAAAACTTTTTATTAGTAATCTTACAGAATTATTACAATTATTTCAATTGTCCTAATCCTTCCAGTCGCACTATGGCCCTCGGGTCGAATCAGCCTCTAACAAAAATGAGTACCACGATCTACCTGGGGTAAAGGGCGGTCGGAGGGTAAGGCTGACGATCTTGCCGTCATCTGTGAGCCGATTATCTATAAATGTGGAAGCCTCGACGTCTCACAACCCTATGGGCCTCCACGGCCTGTTACATGGATATCTTTACCTTTTATAGCAAATATAGAAATATGTTTCCATTCCTGATATGGGTTATATCATGGTGGTTTCATATGGGAGCCATCAGAAGTCCCGGTGTTCTAAATTTAAACAAGTTAAACAAAGATGTATCAGTTCGATCGAATAAGCAACCGGCGGCGAGCAAATGAGAAAATTACAGAGAAGGAACATACAATTCCGAAGAATCATATCCTTTCAACACAGGTTTCACAGATGTGTTATCATAGTCAGGTCAAGACAGCACTATCTTCTGGGTTGTAATGCCATGAGATTCGATAGACGTCCACCGACGTTTCGGGGGGGAAATATTGCCGACAAGTTCAAGGCCGAAGAGTAAGACGACGAAGAAATCAGAAAGAAATGGTTGGCTTTCCTTTATATTTTCACTTCACACGCATTTTCTCTGCGTTTTGTCAATTACACATGGGAACAACATTACCCGTATATGCCTTTACCTGGAATTAAGAGAAAACTACTTTCTTCCCAAAATATGAAGTGAAAGTCACTCTAAAACTGTTCGATTTCAAAGGTTCTCACAGCAGTGACTATGAAGGGTCTGATGATCTCTTGGAGCGGGGTGGAGAGCCCTTGGGTGTGCAGTGTGGAGGGATTTAGGTGTCCTTAAGGGCGCAATGTATTTCTAGGATGTCCGCTGAGAGGGATGGAGGGGTCCTTCATCATGCAATGTGTTTCTAGGACGGTCCGCGGACTCGGAAAGTTTGAGAACCACTGGTCTATGCATTGGAGCTTTGAAATTTGTCAGATATATTCTGTAACTAGGCCTTCTAAAATAAAATCGAAGACATAACCAAAGAGAAACACGGTCTGATAAATATGATGTTTTTTTTTTAATTTGATTTGTTTCATTCTAGTCCGTCACACTAACAATTACAAATATGAATTACTCCGTCCAATGTGACCTATAAGTTTATTACTACATGAAAAACTTAACACCCTTACATGTTTCGGTCTCTGCGGCCCATCTTCAGAGGGCAAACATCACTACAAATAGGAAACCACCTTCACATAAGTTGTTTAGACGTAAAGTATGTACACTTATATGTTACAATGCATAGTACACAAAATAGAACATTTCACAAACACAGCTGTTTCCTGGGAATGTAAGTTTTTAAAAATTATTTAAAATTTCTTGATGCTAATTAAAAATTTTTTCATTGTCAATAATTAAAATTCATAAACCATGCAAGCTTCTGTTCGTCCTCCCATCGTCCCTCTTGTATGGGGCAGATATTGTGCCACCGGCTATCTTGATGTGGAGGTTCTTTATATCTCCCAGGGTTTGCTCGTGGCTGCTGTGCTATTTTCACTGTTCAGAAGTGTGTTGCGTCGCATGAATTTATGCTTGTTGTGTTTTTCTATGCGATGGTTTTTCTATGAAAGAAGTGCAGTTGAGGGAATCTTAGGAAAACAGTTACTAAAAAGGAGTTATTTTTAGCATGGATTTTGACAGTTTCTTAGCAAACCCAAATAAACCTCAACCAGAAATATAAAACAATTTATGTCTTGACCCTGTGGCTATGTGGACACATACCATAATCTTTTTATCATATGAAGAGTTCACTCCCTCACTTAATGAACTGAGCCCTTCTTGGGAAGCCGCCAATTGTGCAGCAACTCAAGAATTTCCCTGCATTTTATGGACCTCGAAAATTCATTACCATGTTCACAAGAGCCCTCCACTGGTCCCTATCCTGAGCCAGGCCAATCCAATCCATATCATCCCATCCTATCTGAAGAGTTAGACACTTTTCAATAAATAAACAGAAAAAACTGATTGGTCAGAGGCAAATTTCCTCTCTATAACACAAAGACGAATAAGGATCTCGACAATTTCAATAACTTTACTCGAAACAAGTTCCGATGTGTTATACGTATATATATCGAAATATTAGAAGAAAATACTTATTACTTGAAACGTAGTTAATCGTCAGGTTTCCAAGCAGGACTGAAAGAAAAAGATCCTGAACTAGTTGTTTGCAAGTACAGTATGCGCCAAAAATACAGTACTGAAATTAAAAGATGTCCTGTTGATACCATTGTCTATTCATGTGAAGGCCCCTTGCACGACAGAACCTTCTCAAATCCTGAAGAAATGGTCCGATTGCCATGTTCCTGTAGCGTTCTTGGGTGACGGTAAGATGTTTGCCTTCCTCATCCTCAATGAAATATGGGCCTAATATACCGTGTGCTGAGACGGCACACCATAGCGTCACACGTGTACTGTGTAGCGGTTTCTGGACGATAATATCTGGCCGCTCAAAACCAAGGAAGCGAGTTGTCTGGCGACCACTTCCGTATGAGCGGAAATAATACTCAACTATGAATACTTTTTCCTCCGTCAAGAGACCAATTTCCAACAACTGTACAATATAACTTCCTTTTAATTACTGGGAACACGTGCGGCTGGAGCTATGCCTCGTCGACAAAAACGCACGTGCGCATTCGAGATGCGCGAGTTTCAGTACTGCAGTTTTTGGCGCATACTGTATTTCCCAAAATAATCATATCCTAATTTCCTGATGATTGTAATTTCACTTATTAGATTTTTAACTCTAAATCAGCAAATCAGATTACTAACAAGTAGATTCTAAAGGGTTCTGACGATGGTGTATAACACTCCACTGATGAGGTTAGCTCTTTCTAAAGGACCCAACCGAGTAAGTGTCTTCCCCTCCCCCCAACACCTGAGGAAGGAAACAGATCCAGTTTCCGAAACGTCTTGTTTTCTAGTCTATAGAATTCTCAGATTACTAAAGTTAGATAATTGTAAGACTCCTCGCTACTAAGCCCCGGGTTCAATGTCAGGCAACTTCATGCGAGATTTGTGCTGGACAAAATGACATTGTAGTGTGTTTACCTGCGAGTTTCTCCGCTTTTGCCGCCCTAATCTCGCTCTTCCGTTGCCTCACAGTCGTGAGGCATCTCGTACTATGAGATGTGGGATATCCCTGACCAGGCAGCACACTATCACACTTTCGGTTTTAAAAACTGGGGACTTCATTTCTGACCCCTTACTTGGTTGGTTACAATCAGAAAATCAAATTCTTTACAGTGAAGGTAAAGGTAAATGTATCCCTGTAGTAAGGCGTGGAGGTCCATAGGATTGTGAGACGTCGAGGTTTCCACATTTTCTAGACAATCGGCTCACAGATGGCGGTGAGGTCGTCAGCCTTACGCCCCGGCCACACCTTACCGCCAGGAATATTCCTGGTACTCATTTCTGTTAGAGGCTGAGCCATAGTGCGGCTGGAAAGTATAGGTCAATTGAAAAATCCAATGATCTCATTGGGAATCAAACCCTCGACCTTCCGGCTTGTAGCTAAGAGCCTTAACCAACTTCTTTACCGCGGACCCCCATCTTTTTTTTTTGGTTGTAATTATATATAACTAAATTTGCGAGGAATGAGATAGGTATTCTGTAATTACTGAAGACCATTTCTTGTTTCGTTATAATCTGTTATAATTTACTTGCTACTGTTTTGTATTGCTGCTGGTACTAACAGTCGGACGTTAATGCACGTTAATTAAGCGACTGCGCATGGGTTTGCTTTGTAAGACTAGGAAAAAGCCAATAGATCAGGCGGCAATGTTTTGCACTTTCCAGACTA